GGCATGGATATGATATTAGTGAATGCACATAGGAGTTACTATAAAATCTTACAAATGCAGCAAAGGCGATGGAGGCTTTTCATTGATAACATCCATCAAAATCAAGATGAAAACCTTCCTTATAAAAGAAAAAAGATCTAGGCAAGATAACATTCTACTTTCAATCCTTGTTTGTAGCTTCTTTGTAGTTGTAATACTGAGGAGATGGAGAGCCAACAACTAATGGATTTGACTGAAGAGTCTTCATTTGCTAATATGCTTGACAAGATATTATGATTATCACAACCTTCAAGACAACATAATTAAGATGAAGATCCTCAAGAACGTCATATTTTTTTTTTTTGAATATATGTCAAGATACAACGCATTTGGTATCACAACCTTGGAAGAGACTCTTGATGTTTGGTAATTTTATTAGAGGTAGGAACAACTCTTGACGGTGTTCCAAATATTTTATTTGAAGCAAGTTATGAAGGCCTCAACAACAATCAAATAATAGGGTGGTCTTTCCGCCTTGATATGGGATACTATCGATGGTTAAAAGGCCCTATCAACCATCTTCGAAGAAAATAAAGATTTAAATATGTGGCAAATACAATTCATCGCATCATAAATTTCTTCAATATATGATGATCGCTCCTTGTGGAACTCGTCTCTAAAGGGTAATGTCATGAATATATACATGTAATCCAATAATTATCTATATAAATAGATAAAAGTAAATAGAAGTAGATAAAAGTAAGTTAATTCTATAATATCTTCTATAGAAGCTTCTTAGAAGCTTCATAAATATTGCTTTGACTTTATAGGTGTGTATAATTGATTTTTTGGATTAAAAATGTAATCAACAAGTTGGCCATGTGCCACACATGTTATTAGCTTGAAGACCAAACTAACTATGTAGCCCACATGTAAAAAAAACTTGCCTTGTAAGTTAAGGCATGTGTCCTACAAAGTCAACATATATTAGAGGTTCTATAGAATATTTCCACGTAGCCCCTAGTTAGATAGTATATATAGAAACAAGAGTGAAACCCTCTTTACTCTTATCAATTCATTTCTTGCTTCTAGTTTAGTTTTAAGAGGCTCAAGTTTTCTTGTCTTTTGGCAATAAGCCTTTCCAGTTTCTTTTAATATACACACTTCCTTATTTCTATTTTGTCACTCTTTATTTGACATGGATTTCATTGATTTATGCATCATCTTTTAGTTCATGTCCTTGATAAAAAGAAGTCAAAGACTTTATACAATCATGTAATATTTGTTGAAGATCCGAAATTCCTTGCCATTGATTATATGGATTTTTTCAACAATTACCTATTCCAAAAAAATTATGGTCTTTCATTTCTATGGATTTTATCATGGATCTTTCAGTGTCAAATTTATATGATTCTATATTTGTGGTAGTAGATTGTTTTACCATGATGGCATATTTTATATTATGTAAAAAATCTATCATAGGTAAAAAAGTAGTTAAGCTTTTTCTTAACAATATTTTTCGCTATCATGGATTGCCTAAAGATATTATATTGGATAGGAAGATTGAATTTATAATAAGATTTTAGAGAATCCTTTTTAAGATTTTAAAGGTGGATATAAAACTTTCTTTGGCTTTTCATTCTCAAATTGATAGACAAACAAAATGGATAAATCAAGTTTAGGAGCAATACTTGAGGTATATTATTAACTTTCATTAAGATGATTAGAAAACTCTTTTACTATTAACAAATTTTGTATACAATAATTTGGTACATTCTTCCATTCAACAAACACCTTTCTTTACCAACTATAGTTATCATCCATAATTTGATACTTTTGATTTTTTAAAAGTTAACAATCCTGTGGCAATAGATTTGATAAATTGTTTATGAGAGCTATATATAACAATGAAGGCACAGCTAAAGGGAGCTCAAGAATGATAAAAAATTAATGTAAATGCTTATTGTAAAAAACAACCACAATTCAATGTAGGTCACAAGATATGATTACTTCGTTGCAATATCAAGACTATTCGTCCTTGTAACAAGTTAGACTATGATAGATTTAGACCTTTTTCTACTAATAAAAAAGTCAATCATGTTGCTTATCGATTATATCTATTGAAGTTTATGAAGATCCACTTCATATTTCATGTATCCCTTTTTGAAATATATAAGACAATGAATATCTTGGAAAGAAGACAAATGACACCTCTTCTTATAGAAGTGAATAATAATCAAAAGTTTGAGGTGGAAGAAGTCTTAGATTTAAGGTGGCGCCAAAATAGGTTGGAATATCTTATTCATTGGCATGGATATGATATTAGTAAATGTTTATGGAAGCTAACAAAGAATCTTACAAATATAGCAAAGAGAGTTAAAACTTTTTATCGATAATATCTATCAAAATTAAGATGAAGAATAATAAATCTTTGCTATAAAAGAAACAAGATCAAAAAAAGATAATACTCTACTTTCTATCCTTCTTTGTAGCCTCTGTATATCTGTGATAATATAGAAATGAAGAATTAACAAAGAACAAATTTAATTCAAAAGCTTTCATTTGCGAGACTAGACATTGTGATTGTTATAACCTTCAAGACAATGAAATTGAAATGAAGATCCTCACGAATTACATATCCTTCCTTGAATAAATGGCGAGATACAATATGTTTGATATTACAATTTATGAAGAGACTTCCAATGTTTGGTGATTTATTAGAGGTAGGAATACACCTAACACTGTTTCAAATATTTTATTTGAAAGAACTTACAAAAGCCTCAACAATGACCAAATAACAAGGTGGTCTTTTTGCTCTGGTATAGGACACTATCAATGGCTAAGAGGACCTTTCAACTATCTTTGAAAAGAACAAAGATCAGAATATGAGTCAAATATAATTTGCCGCATCATCGATTTCTTCAATATATGAAAATCACTTTCTGTAGAACATATCTCAAGAAAGAGGGGTAATATCATGGATATATATAGGTATACTACTAAATACCTATATAGTTAGATAGAAGTAGGTAAGAATAGATAAAAATAAGTTAATTTTATAATACCTTCTAAATAAACTTTGTAGAAGCTTTATAGATGTTACTTTGACTTTATATATATTTTTAGTTGATTAATAGGTTAGAAACTTGGTCAATAAGTTAACCACGTATTGATAGCTTGTGGAATAGGCTAACTAATGGTACATATATAAAAAAAACTTGTATTATAAATTAAAATATGTGTCTTGTAAAATCAACATGTTTTGGAGGTCCTATAGGACATCGCCACATAGCTCGTAGTTAAGAGTATATATGGAGGCAAGAGTAAAGCCTTCTTTACTCTTGTCAATGCCTTTGTAGTCCTTAGTCTTGTTTTAAGACTTTTTAGTTTTTTTATTTTTTGCAATAGCTATTGTAATTTAATATTATATCATCTTGGAGTGACTTTCTAGTTCTTTTCAATGATATAAGAGTGTATTGAAGATTTTCTTTCTTTGAGATTCATCTCCTTAACACTAAAGTTTATTTGATCTTTTCAAATAATTTATCATATTATAAATCCTATTTGATGGCCTTATATTTCTTTTATATGAGACTTATGAGAAGCCTTGTAATTTTAAAATGGTTTCTTATGGACTTCTTGTACAAGTTTGGTAGTGCCAAAAAAAATCCCATATTATTTTGAGCCATTGGAAATTCTCATATTTTTCTTTCTTCTAACTTCTTTAAATTTGGCTCGAGCCCTTTCCTATTGATGACGTATTTTGAAATTTCTAGTTCTTTTAAAAAAAACATAATTTTTTTAAGTTGGCATTGAGGTTGTTGGAGCTTAGTTTCTCCAACATCACTCTCAAATAATCTTCATAGTCTTCTTGATTCTAAGAGAAGACAAAAATATCATAAATATATATATATATATATATCACTACATATTTGGCACTTTTTTGAGAATGATCTAGTTCATGAAAGTTGTAAACATATCCAGCGCATCACAACTTAGAAAGATTTTTGGATAGAAAGATTTCTTGTTTTATGTACTAAGTTTTCAATACCATGTATGTGTTGTGTATAAAACATGAGCATTTATCACATGTGATACTTTGGTAAGATTTTTGGTTTTTGTAGTACTCTTACTAAGGTTAATCTAACATTTACACACAGCCCACTGGTTCCAATAGCATGGTACTCATGCATTCATTTGACTTTGGAACCCATAGTGCCTTTGCTTTTGTAACTCACACTAACATTATAAATGGCATTATTGGGAATTTGGTCATTCTCGATAAATGAGCGATAATTTCTTCAACCGCCATTCAGAGACCACAAAGTTGTGCCCAGAAAGCAGAAGCGATTGTTAAGTGACCAAACTGTATGTCAAATCATGACATGTAACTTTTGTTCACAAACATAGGTGTCCCCATATGAGTCACCTCCCTTTTTACTGTCCATTGTGGAAACTGTAACTGCAGATATTTGACACTATTAGCGTGGATGCAGTCTAAGATTGCCAATGAAAGATTGAAGGGACACCTTGCCAATGGATTCTACAGGATTTCTTCGCACATCAGTACCATGCATTTGCAATTGTGAATCTGGACGGAGAGAAGAGGAACAGAGCAATTTGATTCCTGAAACATCTCGCCATTGAGAAAAAATTGGTGCAGCTGTCGGAACATTTCCCTTTCAGACGGATGGATTTCACATGGTAAAAACTTTGTTCCTCAGGTTCCATACCAGGTGAACGTCAAAGAAGCACATGTTTCGACCCCCTTGGAAACAGAACGTGGTTAATTCCACACATGATCTCCTGGGAATCAGCATGCTGTGGTGAATGATGCAACGCTTCACTGAAGACACTGCAGATGTTCCGGGCATGAAAGGGATCTACAAGTGGATGAAGTAGATGGAGAGCGTTTATGCTTGTGTCTGATGAACGGGTATGAGGCGGTTTGGGAGTCATCTGAAGAGGCGGCGGTGGCCCCGCGGCTTTGACAACTAACTCCATCTTCTGCAGCCTGGCCTTCTTCTCACTCTCAAACTCACCCTCATCCTCTCTATCTCGCTGCTCCAGTGTCAATTCCACTCCCTTCAAATCCCTGCTAAGCAACGCAAAATCTGAGAGTTTGAAAGTTTTGGAACTTGACAACGGCCAGTTCATTCCCATGTAGCGGTGAGAGAATCATTGTTCATTGTTTAGTTCGGTCAGCATTTCTGCAGGTGATCCTCTAATTCGTGTTTCGAATCCGGTATTAGCGAGTGTGCGTTTGAGAGCTTGGTCTGCGTTTGAGAAAGACCAATCCCCACAACAAATAACCGACACGCATGAGGGGGGAGAGGAGAATGACTCGATGTTCGTGAGGATACACACGCATATCATCGTGAAAGATCTAAGATTGGATTAAGTACTCTTCTGGCACTCAATCAAACATCCTCGACCATGGCATATACATAACCTTCATCGAGTGTCAAAAAGTGGTAGGACAGGCTGTTGAAATTCAGACTACGACATGGTTCTGTTGATGGTTATCTGTACGTTTAGTCCCTCTTATTTACAACGCAATGTTTCGTATTAGTCAATTCTATGGAGTGCTGGATTCGAGGTGTGAATAAATGACCGATTGTGCACTGGACTCAGGTTACAAGCACGACATTTTGACAATATTTTTGCTCAGTCTTTCAGGAATTCCTTGGAAGAGAAGCAAGGCAATATCACACTATTTTTGTGAGTTCTACACCGTTATGAATGCAGCTATGATTTTTTTCACATCACGGCTGTGTCAACGGGCTTGGTCATGCACATTATGGCATCTTAAGCTGCGTGCAAGTTTTCTGATAGTAATTTTTCAAAAATTTCCTTAAAATTATGTGACGTTTTAAGTTAACCACGTTGCGTCGTTCGCCGGTTACGTTGTCAAGGAAATGCAAACATTGGGGTTTCATGAATTTTTTGCAGCCGCATGGGCAACATGTCTGGAGTAAGATCAACGACAACCATGACTGTAAGCGTGGTTTTCCTGTTGGCGGTGTGCTCGGTGAGCATCGTCAGATGTTCCCTGGACTTGGACTTGGACATGGATGTTGTGAAGACTGAATCCGAATGGCAGTTCATAGATGGGGACATTGACACCTTTACTGCAAACGCCACGGCTCCGGCACCGGTCCCCCCGGCAACATCATCCGGCAAAACGATCACGTTAGTGAACGGCGATTTTGAGATGATCAACAGTACAGCAGTAAATGATACCACCCTTGTGAGCATGAGTGGGACCGACATCCCAAACTGGAGTCCGGGGGGCGCTGGCGTGCAGATTCTGGTCAGCAACACTTACAAGATGGCCGTGGATTCGCCCTCGAGTAAGTACTGCATCCACCTGAACAACCCGGGTGCCTCCGTTAACGGCACGCAAGGGTCCATCGCGACGATGCTGGCAGTCAACGCTGTGGCGGGCAAGACTTACACGGTGCACTACGACGTGGCGCGGATGCCGGACGGCCCCTTAAACCTGTGGCCGGCGTTGAGGGTGTCAAATATCCAAGGTATCGAAGTCAATGACTGGGCGATTAAGCAGCCAGTGTTCAACATGACGGACTCGAAAACGCAAATCACTTGGACGAAGCAGAGCTTTGTGTACACAGGCAAAGGAGCATCGACGATAATCATGTTCGAGAGCATGTCGGAGAAGTACGGGGCCCTGATCGACAACGTGGAGACGCTGAGTGGGAAACACGAGCTGGCCGCAGCCCCGCCCTCTAAGATGTCCGCGCTGAGCCAGAGACTCGCCCCCTTCGTCACACTCGTCGCCCTCACATACTTTCACAGCATCGTCTAGTCTGTATTGCACTGGATCAGTAAAGCTCAAGGAGGGCGCCCTACCCTCCTATAAAACGGACCAAGATTCTGTGGCTGTGTTTTTGCATACGATTATCTTCTGCCACAAGAGTGTCCACTTCCAGGAGCTACTGATCACTACGAGGGGTTAGCCTCATCACCTTGGACGAACCCTGTCGCATAATGAAATTCAGGCATAGTTTGCATAACTCTTGCTTCACAGTTTCTCATCACTCTTTGTTCGTATCTATCCCTTCTCAGAAAATAAACACTTTCGCAATTCTGTATTCCACACTTCTGCGGTAGTTTTCCTCGGATAATTATTTCTGGATCAATGAGATGTGGGCTCCAATTCAGATGAGTCATCTTTACTTGGTATCACATGGTTCGATTGCTGCTTTAAACAAGCAGTGGCAGACTTCATGCGAGCTTAGCACAATATCAAGTTCATTTGATTATGCAGGATTTTTTCCTGACTGCAGATGCGGTGATAGAACCGCCAGCTGCCGTCCCATGCTGTGTCACATATTTCAATTCAGCAGGAACGATGAATATTGCTGCTAGGCTTGAATCATGCTTTTGAAGATAGAATGAGGCACTGATTAACTTTGCCACTTAATCCGCACATATTAGTTGCATTCAACCGGAATTCCCTCCTCGATGCAAGCTTGCCATGCACATGTCCATCGAGCTGGAAGACATTGTTCTGCGCCCATTTTTTTCCATACAACAACGTTAAAGCTTCCTTTGTAAAAGAAGTGTGACTTTTAGTATAAGTATGAGGAAATTTAAGTTCTAGTGGAATCTGTCCTAGATGTGGGTTTTTGTGATCCATCATGCAGGATATTTCAGGCGAAATGCAACCAAATGTTTTAGGGCTGTTAATAGAGAAAAAAGGGCTTGAAGTATTTACTCAGGAGCCAGGAGCGATGAGTACAGCCCACTCAAATGTGTGTGTAAGTGTGTGGGTTTTTTTAAATGTAGATACATACTTACACGTACAACTTGTATGTGCTTTACATGTTTTGTGTGTGGGTGTGTGAAAACATTTTTTTTGTGTTTCCACAAGTAGCCTAGAAGAGATATTAGTTTTGGTTTCATTCAAATTTAAAATATCAAAATAAATTCTAAACAAGTGAATGGATGTTTAGTTAGTTTTACAGCACAAAACACTTCACGTATGAGGCACAATAACCATAAAAAAATTAAATAAATTTAAATACGTTCAAAATTGAGAAATAAATTCATCAATAAAAGAATCATTATTGATTTTTTTTTCTTTTAAATAATAAAAATTGCAAGTTTTATTTTTTGTAAAGTGTTCATTATATCTTTTTTTCATATGTGAAGTTTTCTTTTAAAAAAATCAAAAAAATAATAGGTATAATATTCATAAAAATATATTTTTTTTATTTTTAATCCAATTTTCAAAAATTATATCAACAACAGAAGGGAGCAAAGTAGAAGAATAGATTGCAAAATAAATTTATAGAAAATGCAAGTGCTATTGATACCACCTAACCATATAAATGGTACAAGAAGATTTTTTTATGTATGAGAGTTTAAAGGACAAATTTCATATTTTTCACATCATTTAGAAATATCAATTTGAAAATTTCAGTATCTTTAAATTAATTTTTAAAAGATGTGGTGATGTAAGTTCAACATTGCAGAGCTTTCTTGCTCAATCACACACCTCTAGGCTTACATTCTTCCAAAAAGGAGGTAAGATAAAAACTGCTTCTTCTCTGTTATAAAAATTATGCTTTTAGTTAATTGAAAATTAAGTGTTTTGTTTATGCCATTCTTATAATTGTTCACAAATATAAGATGATTACTAACACTATCTAGTATCTTACAGAAAAGCCAAAAAATAAATAATACAAAGTAAAATTAATCTCTTTTTAAATCTTTTATATAAACCATGTCTCAGGAACAAATAAAAGAAACAGAAGCTTTAAAACATCTTCTTTACCTATACCACATTGTTGACTTAGGAGCAAAGGATATTTTAACGTTATGTGTATATTTTAAAATCATGTTCCTCACATACACCAAATGAAAATAAGTAAACAAATAAATCAGAAAATAAAAAGTAATATACTGATTTCTATATAAAAATATAACAAATTCAATAATTAATATTTAAAAAAATAATAAAACATCTATTTTATCCACTTTTCATACAAACCAATTTTAGTTAGCTCCTAGAATATTATTAATTGAATTGACCTCCATACATGTGAGAATATTTTATGAAGTAATTTAACAACTATCTGGTGCATGATAGCTTTGTGTTCACATTTACTGCAAAAATCAATTGCAATGCAAGTCATCTATTATTTTTTGTGTATGTGTGTGTGTCTATATATATATATATATATATTCTTTTGTAATGTAATACATTTTTATATATATTATCATCAATTTGTACAAGTCACTTGATGATGATAATTTACAGGTATAAAAACTTTTTATGTTTGATCTAGACATGAAAATTATGAACACCTTACTTCCATCCTCCTAAACCCAATATGTTGCTTAAAGACCACTTTTCCTTTGTTAACAACAGTATTGAACATACACTTACTAATGTACCACATTAATGTGTCCATTGTTCTTCCACAGACTTTCTTCATGAAATTGGAGTGACAGTGCAATATCTTTTTTGTTTGTTGATCTCATTGTCAATAATCAGGACTTGGAGATGATATTTCACAAACAACAAGCATCAGTCAATTGTAATACATCCAGGGCTACCAGGAGGTCCTTCATCCCTTGTAGACACAATATAACCTCCTCTCAATAATCACGTATTTTGAAAATGGAAAAAAAAAAAAAAAAAAAAAAAAAGAAAGAGACAAAAGAAAAAAGAAGTACAACTTCTTGTTGAGATGCCATTTGAATGCTCTTTGTTCTTCATTTCACCTATATCATTATTTACTAAGAGTCAATGTAACCAAGTGTACCACACATTGTGCAAAACAAATCCCTAGATGAGATTCAATAAAAAAAGGCTTTCTATTAACCCTTTGTCAACCATCCACTTGACAATATATATATATATATATATATATATATATACATTGGAAAAAAATAAATTTAAAACTCAATCAAACGAGCACAATTAGTGTTGCATATTTGACAATCTTATGAATATTTGCAATTGACAATTTCAGCAACTACCAAGTAACTTTCAACAAATTAGAGTATGGGTGTTGGTGTGGTCAATAACTGGCATGGCCAACCTTGGTAGAATGGATCATTTCTCTAGCAGCATGTCATGGAAACAACTCTCTCATGCCAGAGTCAAGGCTTGGAGAAGGGCCCAAGCGAAGCCAGTGTAGGGTGGGCACAATCACATTGCAAAAAATACACAATTGCATTGCAAAATATACACAATCGCATTGCAAAAAACCTACTTACATACAACTCTCAGTTGCCTTAATGGCATCAAAGTTGTGAAATGGCAGTGTTTTGTCACTCAAATTCCATCAACACTCTTTTGTACTTCTTATCCTCATATATCAAACACAGTTGTATCCATGTCAAACTATCAAAGACCCCCATTGCCTTCTCTACAAGTGGGTTCCCATTTGGCCAAATATACAATAGAGCCTACCCCACCTACAATAATGTCCAACTTTCCACCAAAACCTTAGTCCAAGCTTTGAAAAATAGGGGGCATCAATGACCTCATTGTCCTCATTGTCCAATCTCAGCCTGTTCCCAAGTTTCAACACTATACAAACAAATAAATAAAAGAAAAATGTTTCTACATGTAGAAAAGCGAGGGAGTAGATTTGATACCTTTCAGTTGATCGCAACATCAGGTCACAGATGGGGGGCACAAGGCTGACGTGTACGGGGCGAGGCCACTTGTCGCCACGAAGAGAGGTCGGGACTGTCTCACGTGTACCATGACACGTGGATGGGAGCCGGGGCGGTGAGAAAGGCAGAGGCGACAGGCGTGCTGCGATCCGCAACGACGGGGCCTCGCATACATCGAGAGCATGATCGCGCAATTGGCAATTCTCATCTCGGAAAGATTCCGGTTTATTGCTCGGCGTTGACGCAGTAGGTGGGCGAAAGAGGGCAATAGCCAGTGCAGGATTTGTCGGTGATGTATGGATGATGTATGTGATATTTTTTGGTTTGCAGAGGTCACAGAAGTGATTTAGTGAGGAAAATTGTGCGTTGCAGGGGTTACAATCGGGGCCAACCGGTTTTGTGAGGTGAGTTTGTGAGTTGGGTTCTTGTGGGTGTGGTGGCGCAATGGAGCCAGGACTAAGCGTCGTGTGGGGACTTCGCGTATCATGGTATGTGGTGATCGTTGTTGCGCTGATTGGGTTGTTGCCCCTCGGAGCAGTGAGCGAGTTTGTGCGTGAGCTTTGTCGTCGAGGGAAGCTCAAATCGGCGACCAGTGTTCAGAGTCCACCGGTTCGAACTCCCCCCCTCCCTCCTCCCCTCGAGTTTTCTGTTTTCTCGTTCGTCTGACTTGAAGTGATGTTGCTTGCGCACTAGATGTCACTGGGAGTTCCTGTGAGTGTTCAAGTGAAAGTGTGTTATGTGAGTGTCGATTTTAGAGTTGAGTTTGACATGTAACACCCATCTCATTTAACACTCAACATCCCTGGGGTTAAAAGGGTTTCAAAACTGCCTCTGAATTCCTGCGAAATGGCGCTGATTGACGTAGAGTATAAGATCATTAGGAACCCTAAGTAATGTGTTTAGCACTAGCTGGAGAGTTCTTACCATAGTGAACAGTTTAGAATGATGATTTGTAGTCACGTTAGGTGCTTTCAATTGGGTATATTCTATGGTTGTGCTAATGGTGTGACCTCATCCCGTATCTAACAAACAATGTTGATTCTTACCAGAGGTTTACCGTTCCTCAGCGATGGTTTTCTCATTTTTATATTTTGGGAATACTTGTGAACACCATTCTGTTGGCAGTTGCCTTCTTATTTGCGTACATTTGTACGTTTCCACTGCAATCGCATGAATCGAAAGTTTCAGCCATGGTTTTCTCTATGAGTGGTAATTACTTCTGTTCTCAGTTTTCCCTATGGCGATTCCAATTTGAACTTCCACTGGTTGCAATGTCATCTGATCTTCGCTACTAATATTCGCAAGTAATTTCTTTCTCCTACTAATCTTGCTAATTAGACGTTGAGGACTACCAGTAATCTAGCATTCGCTTATTGTTAATGCCTAATGACACCACTAGGACAAATCCCTCTGAAGTTCTAAACCAAGCTTCCTTGTGACAGGTGCAGGCCAGACGCATGCAGGAATTGTAGGGGTGGATAATGTGCCCCAACTTGCAAAATATAGAGAGCGTGCTTGGAGTTCATTTTTGTTGCTCGCAATGTTGGAGATCCATTTACTCCGCAGACTATTCGAAAGCGTGTACATGTTTCATTACAGCCCATTAGCCAGAATGCACATACTCGGCTATTTTGCTGGATTAGGGTACTGTCACCTACTTCCATTCCACCTACTTCTCAGTAATTATATGCAAGGTTAGTGTTGGTCCAATTGATGCATCTCTGTTCTTTCTCAAATTTCCAAGACGGGAAGTATTCGCTATTGCTCTATGCTAGAACCGTTTAGAACTCATTATCTGGTTTATTTCGTGTAAAGGTTCTGAAAAATGGATTTTGTTATCAATCAGAGCAGTTTCGGAAACGCAGTGTAGCTACAAAGTGAAGAGATACTGATAGTAGACTCCATGTTACACGCAGGTTCTACCCTGGTGCGTCCATCACCTTTTTCACCGTACATTTCCAAGACAAAGACTATTTTTCTGCGCTCAATACATTTGTGGTTCAAACAATCGGACGCTTCGTAATTCTACACACGGGTCCGCCCCTGCTCAATTTTGAACTTAGAGTGCAGGATCATGTCAAGAGTTTTCAGGGTTTGCAAGCGTTTCAATGGGTAGGCTTGGCTATATTTTTACTTGGCTCGATCCAGCAGTACCGATTACATTCTATACTGGTATGTGCTTTATCGTTGCTTCTGCCCTTGGTCTAGTAACTCCTCCCCAGTCTAATAAATCATAATTCCTCCCTCCTTAAAGTTTGTTTTTGAATCATAAAGAAGTGGTTCTGTAAATGTATCTTCAGATATTTCCTTGTTCACTGAGGTGTATACGATGCGAGTAAATAGATTATATCATCACCTGCTTTTAATCCATATGTCAACATGTCTCATCAGCAGCCATGATTGTATCTCAACGCACTCGCTGAGCTTATTTTGCGAGCCTCTGGCTGGGGGACATTCTAGGTATAGGTTACACAATCATGAACAATAATGCTCTTACAATCTTATGTCTCTGACGTATTTGGTAAACCACTCCTCTATACTGCCTTGATGACGTCGCTCTTTTTAGTTGAGGGGTAATAAAACTTTCTTTCTTTGACAGGCTTCTCTGCGAGCGAAGAGAGTACACACAGGAGTTGAAGCAGTACTGAAGCCCTTCTCAATGGACAAAAAAAGAGCTGATCGATATGAGATACCGCTAGGGAGTTGGTTCGAATGGGTCTCTTGTGCTCATTACTTGGCAGAAATAGTGCGTTCTCGCGCTCTGTCCATTGTTTCTACTACATTATAGAGATAGTAGTAGAACACCTCCAACCTCGTCTGTGTGTGCTCTTTACCATTCTGTTCGTGCATTGCGTGAAGATGGTCTCCTCATCTGCTCATTGTATTTTCTTTGGTTCGTTTGGGTGCAGGTGATATTCTTGGGAATTTTGATAGCCAGTGGAGGAAACAACCTCAACGTTTGGTTGTGCTTTACATGGGTGGTTTGTATCTGACATCACTTTTAAAATATGTTTTTTGTGAATTTTTCAATTAAATGGATACATGACATCTTTGGTGACTAATTTAGTACTTGAATTTGAACGATTCAGCGTGTGCGGTTCCGCAGACTAGAATGCTATCAGGACATTGTATATTGAGTTTTCAAGGTGAAAACATCCTAGAATTGTTTTGAAATTGTCTTTGCCACCAAGCTGACCTTGCTGCATTCTCTCTTTTGCAGGTGTTAAATCTCACTTTTGCGGCTTCAGAAATGCATAAATGGTATAAAACTAAGTTCGAGGATTATCCTACATGCAGATATGCTATATTTCCATTCATTTACTGAGCATAATGAACATTCCTCTGTAGGTACTGTTTGAGAAGCAGCAGCCCTTTAGAAATTACCACGTACATATGCAGGGATTGTTTGTAGGTCAACTAATGCTGTAAGAACTTTTTGTTCTGAGTTTTTCTAATGTAGGAACAATGTTTTCTTTACTTCCTACATTAAACTCTCAAGCTGCCCACAAAACCAAATCTGGTTTCAAACTAAACTGCGGTGCATGTTTAACCATCAACTGACTCTTGTACTTATTCATCTCTTGCACGGGAGATCGTTTTATTTTAATGAGAAACATGATTTACATTTTAATTTCTAATGAAAATATTTCAAGATACAGTAGTCTAATTTAATTTTTACAAGCATTGGTGACATTTATCACTAAATCACTTAGTACACATGTATTTCAATTAGTCACCTGATAGTTTGAATTTAAATTTATCACTTGTATTCTTTAAATCAACATCTAATCATTGTGAATTAAAATAAATGTTTTGGATTTTTTATGCTAGGAACACCATGTTTGATTTGAGACAGACATTTTTTGTAAAAATTTCTAAATGTTATTTTATGTACTTTTTTGTTCTGGAAAAACATCTTCAATTACAATAATGTTTTCTTTTCTTGTACATACATAATGCATCAAAAACATAAATACAACTATATTTTAAACACCTTTTACTGTTTATTATTAAATAAAAAAAATAAATAAACATAAGTTTGTAACACACTATACAAATAATAATAATAATCATAAGAATAGCTAGTTTCTGAATTGAACAAAATTTTCAACTTCATGACTATTTGACAACAAACTTTTTATTTTATATTTTTTAAAATTCTCATCTTATTATTCTAAATTTCATAGTATGATTATGTTTGTAAACATATTAGTCAATTATAATTACAATATACATTAAAATAAAAAATTATATAATTATTATCAATTAATGATTTCTAAATATCTCTAAAATAATGATTCAAAAATCTTCTTAGAAAGCAACCTATTCTTGATGATTTTTTATTACTTTAAGAAAATTAAAGTTAAATTAAAATTAAAATGTCCCTTCTTATGGAAAGATGCTAGTTTTACTCAATAATTTCTACAAATTATATTATTATTATTTTTTATTCTTTATTCACTATGGTCATGCATAATTCCTCATAGCTTATTGCTATTTGGTTCTAATATGGTTTATTGGATAAATTATCATGCAAAAAAAACACATTATTAAGTTAAATATTGGTATCTCTAGAGGTCTTTATACCTAGAAGTCAATTTAAAAGGCCATGATTTAAAAGCCTAAATAAGGTTTCTTGCTTGATTTTTAAAAATAAATAAATAAATAAATAAGCCTTGATAATTGGATATAGAATATAGAAAGAAGAAGCCATAAAATGGATTGAATATTTTTTTATTACAATTTTAAATATATTAGCTCATATCCCAATTCTATTAGATATAAAAAGTATAAAAACAAAATTGGTCTCTTATTTTATAGACAATTTTGGAAATAATTTCCAATACAATTTTTTAAATTGTATTGGAAATTGGTAAAAATTTGTATTGGTTAAGTAAGATGGTTAAATAGTTTTTTTAGTATTTCTTTGAAAAAAATTGATTTTTTTTTAAATTCTTTAAGATTTCTTTACAATTATCTTATGGTTTCTTTAAGTCTTTTTTAAAATTTCATTAATTTTTTTATTTAGATTGTCAATATTCAATTGAGATTTATTGCAATTTCTATTTTATCTTCTATAGCTAAGAGCTTGGTACATTCTTAAGGTAGATATGTTATACAATATTGTTATCTTGAAATAGTAAGCTAAATAAATTCTAGAATTATACTATTAATAGATGAAATATTATAATAAAGTCCTAATTTAGGATTTTTTTTGAACCAATCATATCTTTTTTGCTCTATAGTAACAATAAAGGAATCTTAATACTTAAGAGATGAAGTGAGAGGCATTAAATTTTAAATTCTTTAATTGATTGATATTAAAAAAATCTTATTTGATTCATTTTATATTTAAAATATTATCTTAAAAGCTCTAAATAGAGAATTTAAGGTAGAATGCATTTTTTTCTTGTATGACATAAATAGTTTTTCTTTCTAGAATTTTTATTAAATCTTTTTTTAACTGGATAATAATTAAGAATTTGAGATGGAAGAAGTCTTAGACTAAAGGCGACACCAAAATAGGTTGGAATAACTTGTTCATTGACATGGATATGTCAAGGACAAGAACTTGATAAAAAGAAATTCAGATAAGTGAGCCTTCACTCGAAGAAAGGTAACAAAACATAAATAAACAAGTATGTATATTGAAAGAGAAACTGGAATGGCTATTGCCAAAAGTCAAGAAAACTAGAGACCCTTGAAACTAGACTAGAAGCAAGAAAGGAGTTGACAAGAGTGAAGAAGGCTTCACTCTTGTCTCTATATATACTATCCAACTAAGAACTACGTGGCGATGTTCTACAATACCTCCAATATGTGTTGACTTTGTAGGACACATGCCTTGACTTACAAGGCAAGTTTTTCTACGTGTGGGCCACATAATTAACTTGATCTTCAAGTTAACAATATGTGTGGTACATGGCCAACTTGTTGACCACGTTTCTAATCCAAAAAGTCAATTAAAGACACCTATGAAGTCAAAGCAGTGTCTATGAAGCTTTTAGGAAGCTTCCATATTAAATACTATAGAATTAACTTACTTTTACCTAATTTTACTTACTTCCACTTATTTGTATATGTAATTACTAGCTTATATGAGTATGTACGTGACATTACCCTACTTTCTAGGGACGAGTTCCATAAGGAGCAGTCATCATATGTTGAAGAAATCTATGATGCGACGAATTGTATTCGCTACATACTCTAATCTTTCTTCTCTTCAAAGATGATTGATAGGGCCTCTCAACCATCTGCAGTATTCTATACTAGGGGGGGAAGACCACCCAGTTATTTGATCATTATTGAAGCCCTCATAACTTCCTTCGAATAAAACATTTGGAATACCATCAGGAGTTGTTCTTACTTCTAGCAAAATCACCAAACATCGGGAGTCCCTTCCCAAATCGTGATATTAAACGCGTTGTATCTTGCCATCTATTCAAGGAAGAACATGTCATTCTTGAAGATCTTCAACTCGATTGCATTATCTTGAAGGTTATGACAATCGTAATGTCTCGTCCAACAGGTCAGCAAATGAAGGCTCTTGAGTCGAATCCGTTGGTTGTTGGTTCTCCATCTTCTGAGCGTCACTACTGCAAAGAAGCTATGAACAAGGATTGAAAGTAGAATGTTATCTTGCCTAGATGTTGTTTCTTTTATAAAGAAGATTTTCATCTTGATTTTGATGGATGTCGTCGATGAAAAGCCTCCGCCGCCTTTGCTACATTTACAAGATTCTTTATTGGTGCCCATTTACATTCACTAATATCATATCCGTGCCAATAGACAAGATATTCCAATTTATTTCGACGTCTCCTTGAATCTAAGACTTCTTCTACTTCAAACTCTTCATTATTGTTCACTTCTATAGGAGGAGGTGGAGCTTGTCATCTTCTTGGTATGTCCATTGTCTTATATGATTCAAGAAGAGACACGTAGAATACTGGATGGATTTTCATTGACTCCGGTAGATATAAACAATATGCAGCTGAATTGATTTGTGTAAAAATAGAAAATGGTCAAAGTCTTTGATAGTCCAATTTTTCACAAAGACGAGTGGTCTTGATATTGCAACGAAGTAGCCATACCTTATCACCCAAGAGGAATGGTGGTTGTTCCTTTCGATAGACATCCGCATTGATCTTTTGTTGTTCTTGAGCCTCTTTTAATTGCGCCTTCATCGTTGCATGTAGCTCTAATAAATGAATTGCCAAATCTTTCGCAGCAGGATTATCAACTTTTGAAAAGTCAAAAGTATCAAGTCAAAACTATCAAGTCATAATTAGCAAAGAAAGGTGTTTGTTTTGTAGAAGAATGTACCGTGTTATTGTAAACAAACTCTGCCAATGATAAAAGAGTTGTCCAATCATCTTGTTGGTAATTAATGGTACATCTTAAATATTGCTCCAAAACTTCATTAATACGCTGTGTTTGTCCATTAGTTTGAGGATGGAATGCCAAAGATAGTTTTATTTCCACTTTAAGAATCTTGAAAAGAGTCTGCCAAAATCTTGATACAAATTGAGTTCTCCTATCTCATATAATATCCTTAGGTAATCCATGATAGCGATAGATATTGTCAAGAAAGAACTTAACTGTTTCTTTACATGTGATAGATTTTGTACATGATACAAAATGTGCTATCTTGGTAAAACGATCTACTATCACGAATATAGAGTCGTAAGAACTTGAGATTGGAAGATCTGTGATGAAGTCCATAGAAACAGAAGACCATGGTTGTTCTGGAATGGATAATGGCTAAAGAAGTCCAAAAGATCGATGACGAGGAGTTTTTGATCTTGAGCAAACATCACATGATTGTACAAAATCTTTGACTGCCTTCCACATTTGAGGCCACCAAAAATTCCTAGATATTAACTCCAAAGTCTTATTATATCTAAAATGTCATGTTGCTGGAAAGTCGTGACGAGCTTGAAGAATACGTAAACGTGCTTCTCCTTCTGGAACATATAGGCATCCTTCTAAATAGAGTAGGTTGTTCTTGAATTCAAATTTAGAGGGATCATGAGATTTAAAAGAATTATTCTTGATATCATAAATAAGAGGGTCTGAAGACATACTTTACTAGACTTACTTAAGAAAAGTTAAATCAACAGTCAATGTTGATTTTATTGCTCGAAGATGAAATTGCTCCGGCTTCAAGAGAACCGTTCTTTGTTGCTCAAAAGCTGCATCTCCTTCTTTTGGTGCAAGATAAGAATGTTTAGACAAGGCATCGGACAAACCTTCTTGTTTTCCTGGCCGATAAGTGATGATGAACTCGAATCTTGATAAAGACATGCTCCAACGAGCTTGACGACGATTTAATACTCGTGTTGACATAAAATATTCGAGGTTTTTGTGATCCATATATACGATGACTGGACTAGAAGCGCCTTTTAGATAATGATGCCATTCTTGAAAAGAATCCACAATTGCAAGAAGTTCTTTGTTCTGGATCTCATAATTGGTTTCTGTTGCTAAGAAATTTCTTGAATGAAAGGCTATTGGATGAAATTTATCATCTGTTTCCATTTTTGATAAAATCACACCG